GAGACGGGGAGGAGGGAGGGGGAACACTCTGTTTGGTTAAAATTATAAAAAAAATTTTTTATTTGTTTAGTCGAAGCGGTATTCTTCGTTTAGTTTCGAATAGCTGTTATACAATTCGTAGAAATAAAATTTTTTCGTTTTTTTAATGCTTTTGGCGAATTATTTGCTCAGCGTAATTTACTCGACTGCTTTGTGACTGGAAATTAGGTAGTGAAGATCACATATCATTTCGTTGTCAGGAGCGTAAATAGGTCCGTCGGAATTTTCAACTTACAAATTATTTATTGGCGCCTTTCCTTCCACTTCGTATAAATTTTTCTTGCTCTTTTGAACTATAGGGTGGCTTTCCGCCTTAAACTTTTCAGGCGTTACAAGTTTTGATATTTCGTTAATTTTTATCAAGCGAATTTTAATGAGAGTTTCGTACACTTATTTTGCGAGAAGATTCTATACGCTAATTTGCTAAGCGTTTGAAATAGTCGTATAAGTTTTTATTATGGACCTCAATAGTATATATAAATTACAGACCGTCTTTTGTTGTTTTTTTTTGTCGTTTATTTTGCCAAAATTTCATTTCATTATTAACTACATTATATGTATTTGTATGATTTTTTATATGTATAATTTTTTCTTTCAATTCTCGTTTAGTTTTTGGTTATCTAATTTTCAGTGAAAGTTTGTAAATGAGAAAAAAATGTTTTTTTCTGTTCAAATGCACTATTGCTCTAGTTCAACACTATATTGTTTAATGTTCATTACACTTATCTTGAGAATTGTGTTACTTTTATTAAGTTTTTAAAAACTTTGAAAACCAATAGTGTTGAATAGATAAATGAATTTTTAGGGTTTGCAGCACTAATATGCGTGATTAAATGACTTGTTTACCAAGTGGTTGTCTTCACATCAGTTTTAAGAATGACTGCTTCATGCTTTCAGGACCATCCAGCTATATTTTTTTTTCCTGCTTCGTATTCCGTTCCCATATAGATGTTAATGGACGTCATAATTGGTGGGGATGATTCCTCAGATACAAAATTAAGTGACGTGGGTGTTGCAAGTACTATTGACGAATCGAGTAATGACTTCAAGCATTTATCTGCAACAGATGAAACGACATCGGATACTTCTAAAAAAGGCAAGGATTTTCACGCGTGAAATTTTTATCAGCTCAGTGGTCAACTTTTGCTGTGGCTTAGTTAGCGGCTAAAAGTAGTTTTCATTCGGGAATTGAAGGGGGTTTAAAAGTTTTATTAAAGGAAAATTAAGTAGTATGTTGTTTTCGGTTTTAGAGAAAGTTCTTTCAAAAAGCTCTTCGTCTCGAGTAATAACAGCAGATACAACTCACATGCTGATTGAACCGAGTCATATAATCGAATATGAATGGCCTCCAAAATCTGGTGAAAGGTTTTTTATTCAGGTAGGTAAAACTCATTAGAACCTTAATTTTTCAGTTGTATTGTAGCGGAAATAAAATTTGTTTCAGATTTTATTTCAAGTCTTAGGCGCGCGTAATTTTTGCAATAAAATTAGTTTTTTCTGGTTTTATCCTGTCTTCAGGAATAGTCTTAATTTGTATCTTATTTCTATTATAAATTAGAATTGACTTCTGTTATACATTTTAGGAACAGATTGCTGAATTATTAGATGTCAAGTCTTTCAAACGGAAGTACCCAGACTTAAACAGACATACAATTGAAATAAATGAGCGTGAACATTTATTAACTACTTACAAACTTGCATCGGTAATGAACGAACATCGTGAGTACTTTTCGCTTTTACTTTTTGATGATATTTTAGTACTAGTTTTTGCTTGCTTAGGGCATCTTTATTTGTTATGTATTTTCAATTGTAGAAATGCATGGACTTACTGCCGTAAGAGCAATAGAAGTGCACGAATTGATGGCTAATGATTACCCAGCCATTTACTCTGCAAGTTTTTTTATTCTCTTTTATTCTTCTGTTTCTTTCTCTGTGATTGATGTTCTTTACAACATTAACTTGTTATTAATCTTCTTCAAAAAAATGCTTTTTATTATATACGCGAGATAGCGAGCCATTATGCTTTTAGGAATATCAACGAGCGACCGCAGAAAAGGCGAAGCTGCAGATCGCGGAACAGCAAAAACAACTAGATGCGGTACAATTTCATTCTCCGGATTTAATTTCTTTGTATAATAGTTTCGTTTCTAAACTTTTTGGCTTTTATAAATTCCCTTTTATGGTAAACAGGAATTCACGGCTTTACTTAAAAGTTTGTTTACTTTAAAATAAATTACTCTATTCTCCAGAACTTTTCGGTTTTCCGACTTCTGCTGGTTTTGCAAACATTTTTCGTATTGCTCATCTATAAATAACAGATTTACATCGACATATATTGCTGTAAAAATCATGAAGAAAAATTTGAGAAATTCATTCGAGGAAGAAAAAAAACTTATGGACTTAGCAGCAATTGTTTCAGATTAAAATGGATACAAAAAAGTTACAAGAATTAAGAAAAAATGCTGTGAGGAGTGCATATGAATTCAATGCAGAGATGAATGCGATCAAAAATGCTGAACGTCGACATTTTTGGGATATACAAACTTCTGTAAGTTCAATGTTTTTGTTAGAAACAGTTGTGCTTTTTTCTTTTTTCCGGAAGCGCCCACAAATTAGGTTCCCTGATAAAAACTGTTTGAAAGAGAGGTTTTTACACCATATTTTTTCATTGGCTTTGCGCAAGGTTTATTTCAAAACTGTGTTTCTGTATTTTCATAATCTTGTTAATTTTGTCTTGTTATCCTTTTTAGATTATACAGTCTGGTCAAAATCGGTGGAAGAGAATGCCTAAGAGTGCAACTCGACCTGGACCGTATCCTGTTGCTTTGATTCCTGGACAGTATCAACACTATTACAAGAGGTTTTTAAAATCTTTGGTTCCTAATGTCTCAGTTTTATTTTATTTATTTATTTATTTTTTTGTTAATATTCACTTTTAGATTTACTGTTGATCAGTTGCGACAGTTACCGTTAAATAGTGTCCTGGAATATGAGCACTTATTACCATTAAAACGAGGCAGGTCTCCGTCGCCAATTAATGTGCCAGAAACTGAACTCAATCAGGAGGAAGGACAGGATGTAAGCTTTTCACATTTAGATGGTGCGGATGGTCACTCGCAGTCGTCTATGGAAATAAATAATCAAGTAAGCAACAATAATTTAAAAGATAATTTTTTGCGATTAGCTTGTAAACATTTTTTAATAGCGCTTCCAGTTCCTCACCTTGAGCCACCTTTGAACTTTCTCGTTTGTTATACTTCATTTTTTCCGATTAGCTTGAAAACATTTTTTAACAGCACTTCCAGTTCCTCACCTTAAGCCAGCTTTGAATTTTCCTGCTCATTATACTTGATTTTTTTGCTTTTATTTTATTTTTTGTGATTTTGTTGAGTATTCAGTCTATAAATACAGTTACCAACTTGTGTTGCAGATCAAATTATCTTCTTTGCTGTTCTAGCTTTGTTATCTGATATTTCTTTTCTGATCTTGAAATTACCTTAATTTTTCATTATAAAGGGTACTTTATATAGTTTTTCGGACTCTCTTTCACATGAATTGCTCTGAAATGATCTATTTGTGATTTTTTTTATTTTTTTTAATGAGATTTTTATTACATTATCAGCATAGTTTATTTAAATTTGTTGTTTGGTAGTTTTTTGGTGAATACGGCTGTGCTTTTTGTCGGAAATAAGGAACCAATCTATTTGTTACTGGTTTATTCATTCCTTATTTGCTTTCCTGGAGCTCTGTGACGATACGTAACTTCAGGTATGACTTGGCCTGTAATTCGAGAATATTTACCGTAGACGATGTCATCTGCAGCAGTGTTCAGCTTCTAATGAGAAAATTTCATTTTTTTTTTTAAGGACTCAGTTATGTTATTTGATAAGCAATACACCTCACAGGTTGAAATTGAAAAGTGAAGATTGAAAGTTTTTCGTTTTTTAAATTTACCTCTCGTTTTCCTCACTTATTTGTTTACAGGGGCCTGAAAAATAATGTGCTGCAGGCTCATGTAATCAATTTTATGCACTGTCTTCATTGTTTTTTGCATGATAGCTACTCTTCCAAAGTTCAATATACAGTTTTTAGTACATCCCATATGCATTATTTTGTCCAATCTGCCAGAAACTTGCTGATGTGCTACAAAAGATTTTTAATGCAGGAAACAACAGTGCCTGTCTTTCAAAGATTGATTCATGCGTTGATTTTTGGTGCTACATTTTTAGATGTTGTTTTGCTGTTAAAAAATAGCAGTTAAATTCCCTTCTTTGTGTCTTTGTTAGCCTCTTTTCATTTTTCACCGTCTTTATAACTTTGAAAGTTGTATAGTCTTTGATATTCTTCGGCGTCAAATTGTTTGTATATTGTGATAAGTTTCGTCTTTTTTTTTTATTTTTAAGCTCAGGAGGCGTTGATCAAATTATTTTGATCTGTGACTGGGGTGTTAAAACACTGCTTGTTCTTTCATGATTTTTAACTGCTGTTTATGTTTTTATGCGCTTTTCTTTGGAGGTATCTCGATGACTGTAA